GCATTGTTCAAATCTTGGCGAGCGCGAAGGAGCGCGTACGCGCGGTACAGATGAATAAATATCTTCCGTGAGAGGCGGATTGTGCTCTTTTAAAGTTTAAATCTCCTACAGTGGGATCGCGGGCTTTTACGACTCGCTACTCGAGCATTCGTTTTAGCAACAGCGATTCCCACAGAATTTGCTGGAGACGCGGACAAATGGAAGACCTTCGAAAGGAAAAGTCGCATAGATAATTCAAATCTGAAATTTCGCCTCATGATTTCGTTTAAGAAATACGATGATATGTATTTCTGCGAAAGAGACAAAAAGAGATCAATCGTTATTTAGGCGAATCATAACGTGTAATGAAAAATCGATTAATAATCTCAACGAATCGATGAAACTTGAAGACGCGATAAAGTATGGAAACGTATTTAGTAACGTCAAAAGGGAGAAAATCTCTTCACGGAGGAAATTGCAATTTGAATGTAAATTAGATCATCGAGAGATATATTTGCGATCGAGGGAGATATCGCGTCGTCAATAATCGTCGATACTGTAACACGTGAAAATGTCGTTCAACGATAGCGCTTTACTTCGTGAATTAGGTGGCGACAGTAGATTCGTGCTAACTGGACTCTCCAAGTCCTCTCATTTCGCTGCGCATATAGCCCGGTGTTCCATGCAAACACGCCGCTTCCGCTCACGGTCTGTTAATTTATGTAATTACGATAGCAGTCCGGATAATTTACTCTACGCGGCAGGAAATTCGAGTCAAACGCTCGCGGAAAGTATGGAATTAGTCGTAATACTTTGGAAACGTCGAAATTTCGGGCATAATGCCGTCGTTGTCGTTTAAACATTGTTGACTTCACCGTTAACGCGCGTCTACGTGTTTCACTCGTATCGTAGAATGAACAACTTTATCTCTTTTGCGTTGAATGTTAATACTATGTACGTGAAAATTTGCGCAACACGTAATATGGAATATCAATAAGAATATTTGCTATTTTACCAATTCCAGTGTATAATTACCACTTTTGACACGGCAATACATACAAACACGTACATTGCGTATTGTTCAGATCGCGTTGAGATGATTTTGTCCTCATTATAAGCAGAGGTCGTGAGTTTTTCCGTTTTTATAGCGTGTTGCATTGTTAGAACAACGTTAGATTTTTACAGTTGTTAATATCCGTCGAAATGATGCCGGTCTCAATGGCAGTGACAACGTGACAGAAACGCGATTGAAGTGCCGAAGGTACGTCGAGTCGGTAGCTTAAATGTCTCGAGCGTAAACAGCGGCTGCGTTGACGGAGGAAGAGGCAGAAAAACACCCCTCGGCGCTGCGCTTTCGCGAACGCAGCGCGGCGCAAAGTGTACAATAATCCCTTGATGCTAGGTAGCGAATAAGGGAGGGTCGCAAAGGAGGGTCTGACACTCACTGTACTTTTCTTAGACTGAGAAAATGAACGAACGAACGAGCCCGAAAATAGATAGGAAGGAGCTCCAAGATTTTTCAACGAAACAAAGCTACGTGCGCGCGCGAGACGTCCTCCCTGAACCTGCAAAGAGGCCGGCGGAGCTCTCGCCGTCTGTGTGTTTGGACGGCGTTCAACTTTGTATGCCATTGTATGCCGCGTTACAATTGCTTTTTGCGACTATTTACGAGCGCGTTAAATACCGCGCCTGAACGGATGGACGAGCGAACGAGCGAACGAACGAACACTACTAGAGACGGGCGGACGTCGTCGTCTTTCGCGCGCCGCGTTGATTTCAGGGTTGCTGAGCGCGCCGCTCGTGGTATTGTCCGGCAAAATCGGCTGGGAAATGTCACATCTATATGTAATTATATTATATATCATACCTATGTGTAACTTATTATTGGTAATTTTATCGTGATGTTATGACGAGTTTATTATCACAATTATTTCGATTTATTTCTCGCGATTTTTCCAATGGGGGAACTAATTTTTTGGTGAAAATTCGGGAGATTACATATTTACGTGACAGACAAGGGTAACTTTTACGAAAACGGAGAGGGTGGTGTCTCGCGATGTAATCGAGCAACTTACGCAACATGTTTGCCAGATCATTTTGCACCAAGCATGATCGTATGGACCGTACGATCCATTCCCATCCGTGGTCGGGTTCAATGATATCGTTCAAGTTGGCGACCTTCCACCTTGCAAACGTAATCCTATTCGTCGTGGTGTCAGCGTTTATCGCGCCAACGAATTGGATTATGCTCGTGAATGAAAGACCGCCAATTTGAACGATGTTTACAGCTTCCACGCGAGAAAGGAAGACAGAAAAAAAAGGAAAATGGAAAAAGGATGAAACGACTGCTATTACTCGCGAGACACTCCGTGTAATAATACACATGTTGTTTGTGTACGCGCGTGAATGAAGAGCAAAAGGTAGAGAAGTGGAAATTAAAAATAGAGAGATAGAGAAAGAGGGAGGTGTCAAAGAGAGAAAGAGAGAGAGAGAGAGAGAGAGGGGGTGAAATACAGGTGTGGAAACGGAGGAAGAGCCTCGTTTTTTCCGAAAATGGCTCAATTTCGATGGCGTAGTCCGATCGGTGCGTTACGAAAAAAATACCAACCGCCGTGATCGGGAACCTCGTCGTCGGGCAGATCAGAAGTTTTCAACCTTCCGCAGTCCACCACCGCGCCACCACCACCAGCAGCATCGCCGCCGCCGCCGCCACCACCACCACCACCATTACCGCCACCACCACCAGTATTACCACCCCGCCAGCAGTCGCCACCGAACCCACCACCAGCTTCCTACGGTTGAATTGGCGGTGTTGAAAATCGCAACAGGCTTGCGAGAAGAGTCGACCTTAAGCAGTATGGCCTTAAGGGCGTGTATCCGCGCTCACCCGCTGTCGGGGTGAGTTATAAATCGATTTGCGTCCCGGCCAATGAGGGTTGGAAGTGGTGCGTTTGGATTGGCCGGTACCCAGACCACTCCCACAGTGTTAATAAAGGCTGCGAACGAAAGCCGGTTTCACAACGCCACAATCATTGCTTCGCGAGATGCAGCGTGCTTTGGCGAGATATTCGAATCTCGCCTCTTTTATGAATCAATGGATAATTTTTGTCCAGTGTAAAATTTAAGCATTGGACGTATCGCGATTTCACTTGCAGCATGAGATTGTAGATAACGACTATAAACTATATGTGTGGAGTGCACTTGATTTCTAATTTACAAATGCATTCTACGTGTGATTAAGAAATTATTTATTGCTATCTGCAGCATTTATTTGTCAATTTACTTTTGTTAAAAATATTACGTGAAAAATTTTTCTAAAAATACTATTTGAATGTCTTTTTACTGATTAGTTCAGAGAAGAGAAATTCGAATTTAGATTACGATTTAAAAGAAAAACTAGTTTCTTGATCGTTGCGTCGATCATAAAAGAAAACAATAAATCACTATAATGTAAAGATATCAATATAAATTTTGCGACGAAAAGATTAGTTAATATTATGAAAAGTGCCTGCCGATGGCGAAACACATTGCAATCATTTGATATTCGCAATCGTAATATTATTGATACGTTATTTAACAATAGAAACGGGAGAGGGAACGTTCATAATTACCCGGAAATACCGATAGCTTATGATATAATGGCAGTGCAATGAATTCAATATGATCCACATCATTTTCAGCTCATGTTATCAATTAATTAAATAAACAATTTCGTTGCGTCACGAATTCATAATCTAATAAATCTAACTATTATCAATGCCGCGCTATAATAACAAATTAATAAATTATACGCCTAGCTGACTGCACGTCGCATCAAATATTGCAATTGGCACTTCTGTCAAATAAGTGATAATCGTTTCTCTCACTCTCTCGAAATTCAGTTTGCGAAAATCTGCCCGCTTCACAAATTGGCCGTTCTATTAGGTCAATCTCAGGTTGGTGTTAAGATGTTTCACATGATTCAAGTTTCGATTGTTGAAGGAGGGAGAAGAGATCTGGCTCTTGGCAATTGCGATAAAGAATTTTTTTTAATAATGCAACAACACGTATGTATTCGTATGAGTGCGATAATACAATGAAAAATCGTGGAGAAATATCAGAAGTCGCGCACGGACGACCCTTACACTTCACCCGTCTCATGATCCGGGTTCGCGTCTTCATTTACGGCTGACCTGGCCTGCGCGTCGCTTGGGCTCGGCGAGCGTCTACGAGCCAGCATCCAGAGCCGTGCCAAGACCCAGAGAGTCCCTCTTTTCCCCATGGTGAACCGTTCTGCCGTAGGCGTAGCCACGTCGAGGCGTCGACGTTGCTAGACCCCACCTTCTCGTTGGTAACTAGGGCTATGTCTACCCGGCTGGCTGTCTCAAAAAGCCGACCAATCCACGATGCGAGACGGCCACTGCCAGCGCGTAAAGTAGCGGAGGCGCCTTTGTCGCACTGGGTCTGCGAGGGGTCGCAGGACGGCAGGGCCGAAGGGTAGAGAGGGGGGGGGGTGGAGGAAAAACGGGGAGCGAGTTTGTGGATGCGAAGGAGGAGGATATGGAGGAGGGGGCGGGAAG